CTGGTAGGTTGGTATGGCAGCTGTAGCCCAAATGAATACAGTTGCTAAGGACTTTCAACTCTTGGACTATGGGATTCTTTCCTGCCATCCCTTGATGGTTTCCTGTGCCCCACATGGCCTTTGTCTTACCCCTTCCCAGTGAGTAAATGGTATCATGTGACAGTGCTTAGCACAATGCCCCACATACGGTAACTCCTCACTATATGTTAACCATGATGAACATTTTCAGGGTTCCCAGTTCATGGATACTAACTGTACCTACACGGAGAGCCTCTGTGCCAAAATGAGAGGTGTGGGTTCTGAGCCCAGGCCCTCGTGGTCATTCATGCCTTCATTGTTGAAGTCTATGAAATCTCTCTTTAACAGCTTTTAAATCTAAGAGTATTAAACTGGCTCCTTTCAGGAGCTTCATTTTAATGGAAAGCTCATTTTGGCCACTGAGCCATCAGGACTCAAGAGACTGCAAAGGCTCAAGAATGGAAGGTTGTTTTGTCCTTGGACTTGATCCCTAGGGTCACATAGTGCTGCAGAAATCTTGATGCTAAGCCTCTGTTTTTCTGTTTGCTTAATGAGGATACTCCTTGGCTGGTAGCATACTGGATAAGGTGTAACTATAGGTGGGGGTCAGGGCTTGTGCTTCCAGGCAGCAAGGTACTGCCTTCCTCCTTAATCGTCCATCCCCCTTTCTGCTGCTTTTCTAGCTCTCAGAATGAATTCTGTCTGTACTGAGAGATGGTGCAGGGACAATGTCCTGCTTCTCCTGGCTCCTGAGTCCATAGGTTTCTGGAGGCCGTAGCTCCTGTACTCAGGTTGCAATCTCAGGCTGACTGGAAGAGTCTGATTTTCCTTTTGATTATCAGGAGTGCTTTCAAAAAGCACTCTAGCCTTGAGCATTGAAGTGGGATCACAGAATAAGCCTTGAGTCTTTTCTGGGCAATGACACTGGTCCAGGATAGCAAAGTCCTGGGTTGTCGTCCAGGCAGGATGTGCTTGTTTGAGAGCCATGTTGCCCTGACTTCATAGAATTTTCCAGATTCACTATATTTTGGAGACTGCAGAAAGTTAAGTGAGTAGACTCTGACTTCAACAGCCCCCAAACATGACCTTTGGATTTGCTAAACAAATCAAATGCCCGTATTTGTATGATTCATCTTCAAATATATGTGTGGAGATTTCTGAGAATAAGGACAGTAAGAGAGGGTATAGGAGTTTTACTTGAGGCTTTCAGGGCCAGGGAAAGGAGGAGGAGAAATCATTTCGGAAAGGAAAACATCTCACCACAATGTCTGTACACTTTCAGTTTGATCACTTCAAGCTGCCTCTTACCCTGGTTTTGGCTCAGAACCCAGAAGGGAGGCTTTTTCAATAATTCTCACTGAGCTTAGGGAATCTGCTTTTCCATAAACGTTAAGCAAATAAATACAAATCTGTAAATGCTTAGTTTCTAGTCAGAGCATAACTACTGTTCACCACCTAGTGGCCTGCAAGGATCACATCTGATGCATTATACCCATGTAGGCCCTGAGGAGCCTACTTTCTAAGTTATTTATTGTCAAAGTCAGGACTCCTGGTCTCTTTCTTAAATGTATCCTGACTGTATCAGAGAAATGCTCTTTTGATGGAAAGTAGAACACGGTAAATGAGGCTCAAAACAATCTGGTTCTTGCTTCCTTCTCTTGAGAGATCTGACCACTCCTGTTTATACCCTTTTCTGCAGCCACACCAAACAACTTGGAGTTCCACAAATGTGGCAGGTGATTTCAGGCTGCCCTGCCTCGCACATGCTGTTCTCTGAACTTGGCATTCCATTGGCATCTTTCCTTCTTTGCTCAGCTAACTCCATTTCACCAGTCATGCTCAGGCACAGGTTCACCTCCTCTAGGAAAATTTTGTCATCTGCTCCTCATTCCCCCCTCAAACCATCCTGGCTTCCACAGTAGCCTGTAAAGACAGAGTCATGGAGTTATGGCCCTGTATATATTCCGTGTGTCTGTTTGCTTGTCTGCTTTTTTTTGTTGGTCCAAGTGGTTTCCAACCTAGCTACAGAAGATTCAGAAGAGACCCCCAACCTTAGATCCCCCAGGGGAGGCCAGGGAATCTGTATTTTCACTTAGCTTGATTCTGAGGCACAGCCAGGTTTGGGAGCTATTGCCTATCTTTGTATTTGTTTCCCTACACATTACCAGAGACACAGCCCTCTATAAATGTTTGACCCTTCTGATTTCTCTCTGGTAACCTCTTTTGTTTTCACTTCCTTCCCTTGCTAGCCCTAGACCAACGATTTGCTTATCCTCTTGCCCTTTCCATGCAAAACTGTAACCACCAACTATTCATTTTTTCCACTCTCACTGCCAGGCTGCTAGGAGCTGCTGGTGTGCTTCGCTGAAGATTGGTGCCATTGCTAATTCAGGGGCTTTAACTGCAACTGGTCCCTAAATGTCCTTGGCAACCCTCTGACCCTGGTCAGCTCTCTTCATTCTTCACAGGGACTATTCCCAGCCCCACTGTTCCCACTTCCTCCTGCCCTTACCGTAGGCAGTAGACCAACTTGCCTCTTCCTTCACAGAGAATAGAGGCCATCTGATGGAAACTCCCTCAACTTCCTGCCACCGCACCTACACATGTACCCACATCAGCACTCTCCTTTTTGCCTTCCCTCCTAAGAGCAATCACTCCATTGGGCTCTGGATCCCATCCTCTCCCACTTCCTCAGGGACCTTACACCCTCAATTTTTTATCCCCTTTCTCTTTGACCTCTCCCATCATAGAAGAAACAAATGTCATGACTGTGTTTTTTTTTTAACTGTCACCCTCTCTGTCTCTCACTTTCACCTCTCCTTCCCGTTGAACTTCTTTAAAGTGTTGCCGAGATCTGGCCTCATGTTTTCACCTTCCACTCACTCTCCCACTCATAGCCGTCTGGCTCAGCCTCCACTCCACCACTAAGATGGCTGCTCTCTAGACAAAGTCACCAACAATCCCCTTGTAAAATCTAAAGGCCTTCTCCATCTCTTATCTCAATTGCTCAGCTACACCAGATACTGCTGTTTGCAGCATCCTCACAATGTCCTTTCCCTTTGGTTTCCATGATGTCTGTTTCCTGTCTTCCTGGTGACTTCTGCCAGCTGTTTTCCTAGGCTCCTCCTCCTCTGCCTACCCCTGACATGTTAGGGTTCTTCAGGGATCCCTCCTTGGCCCAGTTCTCTTCCTCCATAGGCTCTCTCCCTGGGCAATTCACTCATACCCTACCTCTGGTCTCAGAAATATCTTAGACTTGTGAGTTCCCAAACTAACTGTAGCCCAGCTCACTCTCCTGAGCTGTAGGACCCAGAGTCACCTACTTCACCTCCTTGAGTCTGCTGCTCTTTCTGTACCTCATATTTCAGTGAACTCAGCTACTGACACAGAAATTGGTGTCTTTCTGAGTTCTCTAAGTTTGGCCACATACCAAGTCCTACATATCTCCTTTCTACCTTTGAGTTGGCCTTAAGGTCCAAAGTTTCTACTTCAGTATCTGGTGTTCAGTCAGGAACAAGGGGTTCAAGGACTCCTGGCTACTGACTCCCAGCCACTGGGGGAAGGGGAGCTACAGGCTGCAAGGAAACAGACAGAACAAAAAGGTCCTTGGGTCAGGAACTTGATTTGGAGTTCCAGGCCAGTCATTCCAGGTAAGTTTCAGGCACATTTAAGTGTATCAGTGAAAATGCAGGACTTAAATGCTGATCCCGGATAATTAAGTCAGAAATAAGATACTGGACTATGTAAACGCAAAACCAGTTAAGTTTACTGTTTATGTCTCATTACCATGAGACAAAACAGTTATACAGATAGAATTCTGTATTGGATTGACATGAACAATTCTTAATATTAACAGCAAATTTTGCCTTCAGATTTTCTAGTATATGATGAACTAAAAGGTATAGAGATAAAGATTTGAAAGACCTAGCTCCCTTGCTTCTTAACTATAATCTTGGTTAGTAATCTTCTCTATGTGTTTCCTCACTTGCCTTTTATATCTCACAGGGTTGATGTGAGAATCAGGACATGACATGTGAAAATGCTTTGGAAATGGCAGTATCTTATGTACAGAGGCACTGTGACCACCAGCTTTCTTCACCAGGCTGGCTGTGCAGTCCTGGTCATGAGCTGCCGTCTGCCCTCTTGCCTTCCTCCTTGCTGACTTAGGTGTCCCTTATGTTTCAGCATACTGAATCCTAAAAGGTTATGTAGACACTAACATACAGCTGATTCCTGTCAGTTCCTAAAGGAAGAGGCTTTCCTTCATTGTGCTTGAGACTCTTTAGCACTAAGTACTGGGAGGAAGAAGGGAGTGTGGTGACAAGGCTTATTTCTTCCAGGTAGTTAATTCATCTTATTAGAGAAAACGTTTTAGCATTTTTCTTTGTATAAGGCACTGGGTTGGGCTTGGTGGGATGCAGCATGGTGTATCTAAAATAATCTCAGCTTTGGAAACTTGCAGAGTTCAAATTTGGACCTGGCCATTTACTTAGCTATGCAGGCTTGGCAAGTAATGCTTGCTTTGAACTTTGAGTTCGTCTTCTGAATTAGGGTGTATTACATCTCTTGCAGCATTATTGAAAGGATTACAATTAATGTCTGTGAGTGACTGAGAGATAATGAGTGCACAGATGACAGATGAGCCACAGTTCCATCTTCAAGCCCAAAGCATGGTAATAGTTGTGGATGATGGGACATACTGACCAACAGAAAGGTGGAGAGGGAGAAACCATCTTCAAAAAATAGAAAGGGTCTTGTTACTGGCAGCACTCATGTAGCAGCTGAATGATCACTGTGAAAGTTGCTTCAGAAAGCATTCTGTTTAACCTTAGGACCTCTTCAATTTCTAAGGCCATAAAAAGAAATATCCAACTTAAAAGAGAAAAAAATTCTATAGTAAGTTCAAATACCAAGGGGTAACGATGACGTGATTAGAGGGTCTATGTTATAGTTATACAAATGAAACAAATGAGAGTTAGCAGTTGCTTCTAAACTTACTGAAAATAATGATTTAAAGGTTTATTTCAGGGTAGGTGTTTACTTTTTCCTGTGGTCATTCATCACCAAGATAGTGGATGCTAAAAAGTACAATGTTAGGAAATGCAGTGGCTTAAAATACAGAACTTGCTTGGGTTGTGAAGTATTAATATGGAATAGATGAGTTTGTGAGATGGTAATTTTTGTGCTCCAGTGTGCTTTAGAGACAGGAATAGTGGGCTGAATTATCAATCAACTGAAATCTATTCCAAGTTCCAAGATTTTCTTCTGCCAGGGCTATGTGACATAAGCAGGTCTTTAACTTCTCTGTACTCAGATTCCTTACTGACTCGATGAGGTCACCATCATCCTGTCAGGCTGTATATGTCAAACATTTTGAACTCCTGAGATTAAGGCCAGTTGCTACTGGGATTATATTTATTCATATTTAAGCAACTCTAAGCAGCTGAGGTATAAGTTATTGACAAGAAAGACTAATGTCTGAGGCAAAATTTGCACACGGTCTAATAAATGGTTTTCCTAACTGTGCAGTATGGATCCTAGGGTCCCATGAGGGGGAACAAAGAAAAGCTTTCTAGGTTTTTCCTTATCATGGTATAAAAACCTACTCAGATATTGATCAGATAAAGTCATATACTTCTGTAAAGACAAATATCCCTGATTTAAAGCAAATCTACCATTTGTTTGGTAGAAATGCTTTATAGATTTCCTTCTTATGAAAAGTAATTTGACCTTATCCCCCTATCCCAAATCTCTGAGACTTCTGAAAGGATAAAGAAACCAATTTGGAGCTCTTTCACAGGATTTATTTGCTACAGAATTGCCTGAGCCCACCAACAGGATGAACTCAGGATTTCTGTGTTTAAAAGGATTTTGTTCACTGCTTTATTTTTATAAGTGCTTCAACATTCAAAAAGCAATTCTTTTTGCCAGAATTTGGCATGTCTAGAAGAGGTTAGAAAAAGTTAGAATCTATAGAATTAGATGTCTAAAAATAGAAAATCCTCTGGACATTTAAAAATTTCTCATTTGGACAGGTCCTGAGTTGAAGTCACATTCTTCTGCAAAAAGAAGTTTTAGTTAAAGAATGCTGTATTTTATAACTCCAGGTCCTGACCTCGATCTTGACTGGTGAGGATTCCAGGCACTGCAAAAATGACAGGGGAGATGCCATTCAGTTGGCCAATTCTGGCATGTGTTGTACCTGGCTTGTGAAGTATTATGAATATCTTTTAAACCCAAACCTCTTGGTTCTCTGATGCCGATTGTCTTAATCTGATTCTCAATACTTTTAAAAACAAATAAACAAAACTTTTCCCCAGACGATCACACATTTAAGTATTTGCTGCTTGTGGACAGATACAGAGAAACCAAGTATGGATGTGAATTAACAATTCAGTGATGGAGCTGTGAATCTCTGGATGGCTTTGTAAGCTGTAAGTTCCCTGCTGATCCTGCACTTGCTGTGCAGCAGAGGTGACCATCTAGCAAAGTCAACCTGAAGAGGGTGTGAACCCCAGCAGCTGCTCGATAGGTTTAAACCGCCACTCATCTGCCTCCAGCTCTTCTACCAAACCAGCTAGCTTTTCCATCCGTGCAACCTGCTGATCTGTAAAGAGTCAAGAGGTAATGTATAACATTTTACTGCAAGAAAGTCACCAGCCACCAATACAGTGATTGGCTTAGAAATAATTTTTAGAAAGATTTTTCCTCCCTTAATAGTCTAGTAATGGGGTCTTACTCTATGCTGGTCAGAAGACTTAATCTTTAAAAGAAAAAAAAGTAGAACGTATCCTCCATTGTGATTTGTGTATAGCCTAGGGTGACTGGCAATTGCAGCTTTCCCCCCACATTATGCTTTCAATGGAGAAGTGGTCTGCCGAGGGAACATAGTTCCCTGACGCATAAATGAAGGCCTGGTGAGGTAAAATGAGACAGAAAAGGTGCTACTAGGTGTGGGCTTCTCAGAGTCCAGATAGACCATGAGGTATTACATAAATACTTGGATATGAAGATGATGATGGTAACCAGTAGAGGACAACAGTAAAAGGAGGTTTTAGAAAGGACAGGAAAAAAAGCAACAGAAGAGGAGTAGGAACTCTCCTAGAAAACTAACTCTTTTGACTTCAACTCTAAGGTTCACTGTGGACATTATGTCTGGATTAATACCATAGAGTGCTCTTGTCTGCAGGTAATCTAGAAAAAGTCTACTTAAATAGCCTTACTTAGTTTGAAGAGTTTTTGTGACAGAGCACACTGATCTTTCTGAATTCTCCTCTTTCACCCTTTCCTGTAAATTTATTCTCATAGTTAAGTACACAACACTCATGTGCTTACCATGTTTCACCTGTTTAAGTGTAGATGCCACTTGATAGCTGAAAACAGATTCACAGAGGAATCTCTCAGAGCCGTCTACAAATGGAAGAGGAAGAGTTTTAACCTGCTGTAAGGGTTTTATGGCTTCTGATAAACCAAGTAAATAAACATTGAGTCCCTTCTCCCTTCTTTTTCCTGCTTTTACATGGAGGGTCTAGTTTTCAGTGTTTACAAAAAAAAGGGCCTCTGTTTCATTTAGAACACTGCTGTGTTATAAAGGCTACTTCATCTATACCTAGTATATTAAAATAGTCCCTCTATTTGTTTAAGAGTTTAAAAACAGTATTATAAAAACAAAAACAAGAAACCTCAGTCTGATGTTCTGGTCAATATTTTCCCCCTCCTAGCCTGACAGTTTCTTAATGTTCTGTCTGTATGTCAGGCAAACATGGACACCTGACACATTTGGCCACGTGGTCCCTGTGCTATCAAAATACAAAGTGTACCAAAACTCTAAACCATTTTCATTCTAAAAAGTAAAGCTGAGTATAGCTGTTATTGATTTTTAATATATCAAATTACATCATTATGACCATCACAAAACAGTGCTGGGAAATTTCATTCTGTAAACGCAGACTGTAACCTTGATTTTCCAACTGAAGCAAAATTCTGCAATTTGGATGATAAGAGTATGGTGCAATTTCAGAACCTAGCACCGTATTGGTGCCAAGAACTGGCAACAACAAGGTAGCTAACTCAGTCATCACAGCACTTGATGACTGTGAAAAAAACTAGTTCATGTTATTCCTTGTCAGACAAGGGCTGATATAGCAAAAGATACTCTAAAAGACATAGAGCTCTTGTAGGAATATGTAACTTATGGAGAAACCATTTGGGGAAGGTATCTTATTGACAAAAATCTTAAAACAAATGCAGGGAGAGGACTTAGCTGTCTTTCTAGGTGGTTGTCCATACCAGCACTATTAGGTGTCAAGCACTCACATCAGTCATGGGTCGGTGTGTCAGCTAGGTATTAAGTGACAAAGAGGACTAACACGTTCCGGCTTCATGCTGAGTTTCACACAAGGCAGACCTTATTTCAGAAGTCATGATAAACAATAAGAAAAACTATAGATATTGTATCCAAATGGCTTGAATATACAACCAAAAAAAGGGACTCTGCCCCATATTACCTTCGAAATTTATGCCAAAAAAAGTTAAATTATTTTCATACATATTAGGTATTGATATATACATGTACTGTGTGTGTGTGTGTATATATATCTGACATGTACCATTGTATATTGAAATAATATATTATGTGTTATTTCAAAATTAACCTATTTCATAGTGATGTATACTTTAGGGAGAGTGTTACATTATTAAAATTCGACTTCTTTTGTATATATTGGGCTATATGGCATATGGTCCTATCCCCTCCTCCCACCCCCAATCCTCTGGTTGAATATAAGTCATCTGTGAGATTATCTAAACTGAGCAAAACATTTTTTTATTTTCAATTAACTGAATATTGCACTGACTGTCTAGTTTAAATATCTAGGTAAGCTAATGATATCACTGAGTATTTTAGATAAGGGCAATGGGCAGCAAATAACTATGAATTCCATTATGGGAAGAGGGACTATGAATGTTTGACACCAATCATGCAATTTATTATGGGTTTTCTGTGTAAATATACCAGTGTTCATTATCCTAGTCACACTCTTGCTTAAAGTGTCAAAGTAGAACTCAAGTTTTATTTTAGAAAGTGCAAAGCATGGAGAATTAGAGCTCACTCCTCAGGTGGTTTGAACTTTAGGATTATGGGCTGGCTGTAAGGATTAGGCTAAAATGTATTTGGAAGCTCTTGGAAGTGCTACCTACCACTTATATTTAAACACTGCTGCTATCAGGATAAAATGCTTAAGTTATAACATTTGCATTATTTCCCTTGGTAACAAACTTCAAAGCAAAAGGATGTAAGCTAAGCTAATATTTCAAAAAGGCACCTGTATATCACCTTGCCACTCCATACGCCTGTGGCACACACTTTGCTGCTTTGCAGCTCTGTATTAACCACAAATCCACCGCTTTTTAGCTACATCCTATTAGATGTGGTATCTGTACCAATCTAACTAACGCTGGGAATTTCTCCAGAGAGGAATCAGCCTGGGGCAATCTGTTTTCCATTTAGAAATTGTAATCAAACCCTTTGTAACATACTAAGTTGCAATACATCAGCTCTCCTCCTAAGGGACAAGCAAAGGTTTTAAATAGTGAAAAGTTCAGTAAATTGCCCAAATCTAACGCCATTGCCAACTCCAGTAAATAGGATGCTAACAAATTCATTTAAAAGAATATTACCTCACAGCAGGAAATTAGACCAGATAATTTATACTTCAGTGGCCCAATGTCACTAAAATTCAGCCACTTCTGGGCTGGAAGGCAGTCTCTAATTTGCTCACTAATAAATGGGTGAGGACAATCTTAGCCACAGGCAGAATGCTGAAAACTGCTGTACAGATCTTCCTTGACATACAATGGGGTAATGTTCTGATAAACCCATTTTAAGTTGAAAAGTATCATTAAGAGGAAAATACATGTAATATATCAAACCCGTGGAACATCATAGCTTAGCTTAGCCTACCTTAAATGTCTCAGAACATTTGCATTAGCCTATAGTTGGGCAAAATAATCCAACATAAAGCCTATTTTATAGTAAAGTGTTGAATATCTCATGTAATTTATCCAACACTGTACTGAAAATGAAAAACAGAAGAGCTGTATGGGTACAGAATGGTTGTAAGTATATCTCTTGTTTAGTGATTGTGTGGCTGACTTGGGAGTTGAAATGTGCCATTGCCCAGCATCTTGAGAGTATGTTACTACATATTGCTAGCCCAGCAAAAGTTCAAAATTCAAAACATGAAGTAGTTTCTACTGAATAATGTGTTGCTTTTATACTATCGTAAAGTCAAAAAATCATAAAGTAAACCACCATTAAGCTGGGGACTGTCTGTACACTGCTTATGTGAGGTATCTGTTATCAGAGAGCAGATGCATGAAAAAGTTAATTCACAAGGTTAACTATAGGTTATTTGGGTTTATTATCCTAGATTTAGGAAGATGGAAGATCAAGTTGAACCTGTTAAGATTATATACAGTATCCAACCTTGATTCCTGACTGCTTTTCTTTCTTACTCTAAACAGGCAACTCTTCCCATTCTATTTTCCCATTCGATTAAACTACTTTTAGAAAAATGGTCAGGTATTTATGCATTTAATTATGCATGTTAACTGCATAATAGTATCACCTATAAACATGGTAGAAGATGCTTCCATGTCTAATATCCTTGCTAACTCACATATAGCAGTATTTTTTTTAGTTTAATATTTTTGATTTGGCCAGGATAGTTGAAGGATTGCCATCTCTAATTTTCAGTCTGTTCTTAAGTTAAGGAGATCTAAAATATCGGTGAAACTTTAAGCCTAAGGAAGGGAATCAAAACTGCATTGTGAATTTAAACTCAATGTAAGTTGATCCTAAACAGAAAGCCAACACATTCCTCCATGAAGCACACTGGGATGGAATAAAAGTGGTTAGAAATATAACATTCCAAATTATCTCAGAAGCTTTTCTTCTTTAATGTTTCCAAGTAATCTGGACACTAATTCCTCTTTTGTAGCTATATATAATACATTAAGCTATTTAAGTGCCTCCAGCTTTTGATTTGTTTTGTGGGAAACTTCCTTAAGACTAGGTCTCTACTGCATATAATTGAAGTCACAATATATATTTAGGGTCAAATATGATAAACAAGGCCCCAGTTGTTCATTACCTCCAGACTTAGTGATATTAACTTGAGTATTCAGTTAACACAATTAAAGAACCTGGAAAGGCAAAGGCGGAAGCACATACACCTCAGATATATCACTAACTACACTACCTGATTGCCCTTTGCTAGTCATGATTGGAACCAATTCTAGAAAGCTTTATGGTCCCAGTCTTCTCATGTTTTCCTGTCACAAATGATTCTTCTGGTTTGCCCAGCTTAACCCAAAACTTTTTTTATTATACCTAATATAAATAAAAGATCATCCCCAAAAGTCAGCTCCTAACTGTGAACCTTTCTCAGAGACATTTCCAGATTAATTTTTAAACATACTTACTAAAACTTGCAATGTTTAAAGCCAAAAAAGATGAATATATAATAAAGCACAAAAGTGCTAGAATCAGGTAGATTGAGTCCTTAACTGTTCGCTGATTTTTTTCAAAGTATGATGAATAGTTTAATAGTTAAAGACCACTTTCATGAGACTCCCCTCCCCTGGATGTTAGTTAAAATAAAGATTCCTGTGCTGTACCCTAGACTAATTCACAATCTCTAAGATGGGCCAGAAATGTGCATTTTATATAAGCTCTTCTATGCTATTAAGAATTTATTGTTCTACACATAATGCGTGGGTGGGGGCATGGGGAAGGCAGCATAGCAACCACAATGTTGTTCATGTAAGTCTATATTAATGATACCAAAATGTGCTGAATAAGATAGTGGATGATCTGATGCAAATCCAGCTATCGGTGCTAGAAAGACCACATAGCACTGTGCTGCAGTGGGCCAGGAGAGCCATCTTCACATGTAAGAATAGTATAGTAGTTTTTATTTCCTGTTAGGACCTCTTTGATGGGGTTAAACTATATGTACATTAACTACATTAGGAAAAAAATACCACAAACCTACTAACCAAAGGAAGGCAGACTGGTGCCAGGACAATGCAAGTTGGAGCAAGAGGTCAAGAGAATTCCTGATTCCAGTGCTGACTCTGTCTTTATCATGGTCATATCACTTAAACTTTTCTGGGTCTAAATAACCCTAAATGACCTCCTTGATTTCCAAAGTCTTTTTCATCTCCAAAATTGTGATTCTGGAGAAAGATTTGTGTTTGAAAGATATTATCTTGAAGTGGGGACAAGAGATGAAATGTGGAGCTGAAATCAGGGCAGACTTGTCTCTAATCCACTTAATAGCTTCTTTATAATTAATATTCACTGCAGGTCTGAATCCAACTATTCAGCAAAAAGCAGCATGAGCTCACCTTCTAACATCTCTCCAGCGCCTTTGGGGTAGGTGAAAAGGGCTTTCCGTGGTGGGCCAAGGTCTGAGACACTGAAACCAGATCCAGCGACAGAACTTCCGCTGACGCCACCAGCTGAAGAGGATGATGAAGATGCAGCCATTTCCTTGTTAGTAGAATTCTCACTTCACTGCAGAGAAAAAGAGCAACTGGCAAGTTTATGGAAGGGAGATGAACAACATTTCATTCTAGGTGCCAGAAAAGCCAGCCTACAGTTTAGTAAAAAATTAGCTCCCTCCTTTTCTACCTTCTCCAATTCCATAATCTTTTATTGATGCTTCAGACCAAAATGTCACTCAGGATTTTAAGTTAAAATATGATTATTCTTAGTTTTCCTACCTAAAACACTGCATCCTACCATTAGCAAACTGTTTATGTCACTTGGGACTGACTGTGGGTTATTTATAGGTTCTGAAGGGGTGATATGGCAGTGCCATCATAGCAATTTGAGGAAATAAATTATATGAGGATAATCCAGCCATTCCTCCTAGGACAGTTTGTCTTGGATACATCCTGACTAAGCCACACCAAGAAATTCCCTTATAAAATTTTCCAAATAAATTCCAAAATAACACTGTGTTCTGTTCCCAAGGAAGGGAATTGGTTAGGAAATACTGGTCCTTTCACTAAAAAATGAAAAAAAAAATTTCATCCAACTGTAATTCCCAAATCAATCACTTGGTGGCATCCCCAAACTGGAACAAAAGAGCTCAGGAAATGATCTTAGAATCCATGGGCTTTTAGAAATAGAGCAGCTGTGAATGCTTAATCCTACATCGTATCAACAAGTCCAAATGTAAATTAGGAAGTATATATTGAATACACAATACCTTACAAAAGTTCAAAACAAAAGGACTACTTTGGTCATAGAACCTTATACCACACATTTACAAAAGATTCTAAAAAAGAATGGTCTAGTATTGTGCTATCTAATGGAACTTTCTGCCATGATGAAAATGTTCAAATGTTCTATTTTTGAGCTGTCCAATACAGTAGCCACCAGCCTCATGTGGCTAGTGTAACTGAAGAACTGTATCTTAAATTTTATTTAATGTTAACTGAAGTTCAAATAGTCACATGTGACTAGTGGTTACTGTATGGGATGGTGGTCTAGTATTTAGACTAAAAAGTGACTTTACACTGAATTATACACTCTAAAATGGCTAGTGGTTAATTTATTTTTATTTTTTATTTTGGTATCATTAATCTACAATTACATGAAGAACATTATGTTTACTAGGTTCCCCCCTTCACCAAGTCCCCCCCACAAACCCCATTACAGTCACTGTCCATCAGCGTAGTAAGATGCCGTAGAATCACTACTTGTCTTCTCTGTGTCGCACAGCCCTCTCCGTGCCCCCCCCAACATTACACATGCTAATCATAATGCCCCTTTCTTTTTCCCCACCCTTATCCATCCCTTCCCACCCATCCTCCTCAGTCCCTTTCCCTTTGGTAACTGTTAGTCCATTCTTGGGTTCTGTGATTGTGCTGCTGTTTTGTTCCTTCAGTTTTTCTTTGTTCTTACACTCCACATATGAGTGAAATAATTTGGTACTTGTCTCTCTCCACCTGGCTTATTTCACTGAGCATAATACCCTCTAGCTCCATCCATGTTGTTGCAAATGGTAGGATTTGTCTTCTTCTTATGGTTGAATAATATTCCATT